TCGCCGATGGTGTCCATCACCGCCCCCGCCAGGTCACGCGGCAGCCGCTCCATCTCGCGCAGCACACTGCCAAACCCCGGCACCGACACCACCGCCTCTATCTGCGCCCAAGCCAACGGCCAGGGTGGGAAGGGCAGGCGGGAGTTAGGGAAGTGTTTGAAAGGCTTTCAGGAATTTGACGGGCAGCACAGGGAGACAAGACACGGGCGCGCATCTCCAGCCTCCTCACTCCACCTGTGACCTTCCGCCCTCCACCTGTGGACCGTCCGCCCTCCACCTGTGGCCTTCTTCGCTCACACCCCCCTCTCCTCTCCACCTACTCTTCCCCCCCACCCCTCCCCCACCCCCCACCTGCGCACGCAGCTCGCGGCCGGTGGTGAACATGTCGAGCAGCGCAAAGAGGCGCTCCGGTGTGTTGCGCCCCGACGCCACCACCCGCCCGTTGCTCACCACCGCCTCCACCGTCGCCGCCAACCCACTCGCCTGCGCGCAGGGGAGGGAAGAGGCGGAACGGGGAAGGAGGGATAGGGCTTGTTAAGGGTGAATAAGGGAGACTTTAGGCGAACGCAATGGTGGGGAGACATCTGGAACAGGCTTGCGAAGAGATTGAGGTGGGAGGAAGCAGGGGTCACCTGAATGAGGGAGAGGTAGCAGAGCTCTCTGTCGGGCTCGAGTGAGTCAAATATCTCGTCACACAGCACGCGCTCACTGCCCAGCAGCACCAACACCTGCAGTGGTGAGTGGCAGACATGGCAGAGAGGAGAAGTAGAGGCGAGTGAGAGGGAGGAGAAGTAGAGGCGAGTGAGAAGGAGGAAACGGCATCAGCACCATGCAGCGCACATGGCAACCACGACAGCGCTGGTGGATCAACTGAATACTCTCTCTCCCAATTCATGGATCACACCACCCCCAACCTCCCCAACCCCACATCCGAACCAAACCCCAAGCCCCCGTCCACGCCAGCCCCAAGCCCCACGCCCTGCCCACCATGGCTCGCATGTCCGTGACCCATCCCTTCATCAGCGCCTCCAGCTGCTGCCACGTCATCTCCTCCAGTGATGTCGTCAGCACTCTCTTGATGTCCAGCGCGTCTACACTCCGCTGAATGGCCTCCGCCCGCACCTTGCTGCCCGTGGGAATGAGAAAGGGGGGGAGGGGTAAGAGTTGGGATAATAGGAAAAGTGGCCAAGGAAGAACAGTGGGGGGATAATAGGAAGGAGGAGAAGAGGAGGATTGATAGGAAGCAAAAGTGAAAGGCGACGGAAATCATTCTTGCCAGTGCTCACACGTATTGCTGCATGCAGCGCTGCGACTCGCCCCCCTGCGCGAGCTTGACGGCCATGCGGTGCAGGAAGGGCACGGCGCTGGCGGACAGCCAGTCCTGCAGCGCCAGGTGCGTGGCGGCCGACACCGCGTGCGCCATGGCAGACCCGCCCCCCACGGGGGACGACGACCCCGATGAGTCGGGCGAGGAGGTGGTGTTGGCGGTGCGCGAGCGAGAGGTGGGCAGGTGCGACGACGCAGACGACGACCCCGTGGACGTGCGCGGCACGCCGGGGCCCGCCGCGCCTGCCAGCACGGCGGCGGCGGCAGCAGCGGCGCCGCCCTGGTGCTGGTCCACGAGGCGGCCTGCGTGCGCTGACATGGCCACCTCGCGCAGCATGGCTGCTGGCAACGGCTTGCTGCGCGCCGAGCCACACGGCCGTGCGCGGGGATGGGGGGACGGAGGGAAATGGGGGTGGAGCGAGGGGAGAAGGAGGGGAAGGGAAGGAAAAAGGGGGGGAAAGGAGGAAAGGGTTGGCAGCGGAGGTTCAGAGAAGCGGGGAGGTGTTCAGGCATGGACGGATTGACAGGTGCGGACGAGAAGGTTGCGGGGTTATGCTTATGCATGGAGGGTAGGAAGAGCGTGGGATAACAGCGTGGAGGCGTTTCTCACCAGCTCAAACACGTTGCACGCTTGCACGCTTGCATGTGCGCCCCACCTCATTGGTTCATGTGCGCCCCACCTCATTGGTTCATGTGCGCCCCCGTCCCTCCCCATTGCATTCCCCTTCTCCATTGCGATCACAGTAGGTGCATGCAAGCATGCATGCGTGCGTGTGTGCGCGCGCACCTGATCTTGACGAGCGCGTCGCGGAACTCGTCGACGAGGTGGTCCATGGCGACCGCCATGTACTTCTCGCACTCGCGCACGCCCGACGCGCACTCGTTGCGCTCAAAGAACTCCGCCATCTCCTGCGCGCCGCCAGAGGAGGGGATGGGGGAAGGGGGGGAAAGCAGAGCAGAGAGAATTATAGCGCACTATACCATTCCATGCGAGCGTAGCTGTAGCAGCATGCGAGCGTGCCTGTGTCTGCAGCAGCATGCGAGCGTGAGAGCACACCTGGAGGATGTCGATGGCTCGTAGAAACTCCTCGAGCTTCCACCGCGGGCCCGACGCGATGATGGGCTTCAACTGCCGCACGCGCGCATGGGGACGCCGTGGGGACGAGGACCGTGGGGAAGCGCGGGAGGGGGTGGGGAAGGGGGAGAAGGGAATGGCGGACAGTGATAAGAGTGCGGAGGTGGAAGAGAGGACGAGGGTGAGGCAACGAGCGGGGGTGAGCAAGCACACATATCTGCGGCTTGGGCGGGGGTGCTTGAGACACACTGCGGGTGCCGCCCCATGCGTCCACCAGTGTTCCACTCTCACATCTCCACGCACAACCTCGTCCTCCTGCTCCTCGCATGCCCATGCTCCTCCCTCCACCCACCCCGTTACCTGCTCTAGCGAGTCAAGCGCGTCCCACACCTCCACGGTGTATTCCTCCTCGTCCTCGTCATCCTCCTCCTCTTCCCGCACTTGCCGCGAGTCCCCTCCTCTTCCCCGGTAGTCCCCCACGTTCGCTTGCTGGCAGCATTGGGGGAAAGGAACGCATGAACCAGACACGAACGTTCGAGCGCACACACGAGCATACCCAGAAACGCACACCAGGCCAAATATTCCTTTCGAAATAGCAACGAAGCGCAAGCATTCCACTGTGTCAGGACTTCACAGGATCGCACGCTTTTGACATGCTTCGTCGCATGGCGACGAAGCAGGTCAAATATGTCGTCTACTGGGACGCTAGCCGCCTGCTGGTGTCTGACCTGAGCGAAGGCCCGGCTGAGCGAATCAGAACGATCCACGTCATCTCTTCCAACTGAATACGCTTCCTCAGAATCTGAATCTCCGTCGTGCTCCCGCCGGCTGCGGCTGAGCAGCATCATCCGACGATCTATCGCGGGACGATCCAACACTGACCGGTCCATGGCTTCGCAACGAATAAATGCTCCAAGTATAAACTCTAAACTACCTACTACGTATAAATAGACGGCTTCGTACAACCATTCCCAATGGCAAAACAGCCATGAAGTTACAACACTACCAACGATATTTTTGCCAACCCAACCAAGAGTAATACGTTGGGCTTTTGCCTCGCCCAAGTGTGGTTTCGCCTGTATTTTTCCAAACTGCTCGTCACTAAACTCGCCTCTCGTTACCCAATCACAGGCGCTTTTGCCCAACCAAGTGTAATACCGTTGTAAATATGAGACCCGGGTTTTACTGCTTCCAAGCTACGGGGATTGACAGTTCGGTCTTGAAACGAAGCAGATGAGACGTAACTAGGAGTACGGCGAATAGGGCACTAGAAACACTGCAGAGTATCACTCTAATTACAACATCAATGACTTCCGCTTGACAAATGCTGTGAGTTAAGGACCTGGCAAGAAAACCCTAAAATGGAGTCTGTGAGGCAGTTGCAAAAAAAGCAAGAGCTCAATTGCAAGTGGTTGGGCGAAGTGTTTGTCAGCAGTTTCTGTGGGATTGATTGTTTGTCTGTCTGTAGGTTGCTTTGCTGGTGGTGGGTGAATGTCAACAACCCACTCATTTTGTCCCTCGCCTGAGTGAGCTCCCCTGGGGAGTGCGGTACAGTAGAGTACACTGGGGGGAGCGGCGCGATCCGTAACACAAGGAGGTGGGTGTTACGTGAAACGGTGAAGTGGGGAGTCACGTGCGTGCAGAGTAGGTGGAGGCTTGTTGGCCCTTGTTGATTGGCCTGGTTGTACTCAACAGGTGGCTTATCACAGGCTATGCTATCACAAAGACCTGCAATTGGAGAATACAAAAGTAGACACATAACGGTATAAGATGGCAAAAAAAATATTCATGTATATCTGCTTCAAGTAACGAGATACTCACTATAGGAGCTAGTTCCGAGTGTGAAGTCACTACGGCCAGCCTGGCATGTTTTCCTGCCTTGATGTCGCAATCGCATTGGTACAACTCCTTATTCCTCTTGCTTTTTTACGTCGTTCTGAAGATTTCGAAGGCAAGCGGGACTCTTTTGTGGATCTATTATTTCGGGCAGATGGAAATATAGTAATTCGAGAACGAGTGGTGCTTCATCCATTCTAGTACCCTCAACTGGTCTAGTTGTGGTGGGGGTGGGATAAATTAGTCCAGCCTCACATCCTGTCAACCTGGAGCATTTCAGCAACAGGTTGAAAGAATGTGAGGCTGCAACCACTAAAGCAGAGAACCCCTGTTTATGCTTCCACAAGTGTTTTGGCTCGATACCAAGCACGACTCACAGCCCCTTCAAGATTGAATTGGGAGGTCGTTTGATGCTTCGCCCGTACCGACGTGGCAAGCCCTTGGTGGTCTTGGAGCCACATGAATTGGGTGGGGTTCGCGGACCTGCTCTACTAATCTGGAAGCGCAGCAGTGCTGCGGTGCAATGCGCACCAGCCCCCCAGCCCAACCTCCGCTCCGCCAAACCTACACTTCTTTGCCTCCTCTTCCGTTGCCCAGCTCCGCCTACCACCACCCTTCCCCCGCTGCCCTTCGGTTCGGCTGGGAATGTACTCAAGGCAGCACCAGGTGGAATTCATTTTGAATCTCTAGCAGCGCTTTAGCTGTGTAGCTATGGCGACGACCACCGTCTCCGCGCCGTCGGCGTCTCGGCTTTTATCAGGCCATGAAATTACCTCCAGCCGAAGCCCCTTCCTTGGAGGTGTGTTTTTCGAACAGAAGAACTCTTTTTTTTTTCATGATTTGCAGGCCTCCAAGCTCGAAAACAGCATATTTGATTTCTCTCGATCTCACTCAGATCCACCTATCATCCTTGCAGGCAATGCCAGAATTTGTCAGATTCCCGCGCGATTGCAGCTCAGGCAAAGGGCCTCACGGCATCGTCAGGCGAAGCTGACGTGGACTGATGACAGCAGCCGCCGGCTCCGCGTGGCCGCTCAGGCCGCGAAGGACGGGGGCTCGGAGCTGGCAGTGGGGGACTTGGAGGCGGAGGCGGAAGTCATTGAAGCGCAGATTAAGGTCCGCACATACCGTCTTAGCCGTCAGACCCGCACCTTTGGACACCCATTGGTTCACCTCAAATCCCGCAAGCGGATAATTTGTTTCCAGCAGACACACTGACAGCCCATGTGTTCTGTGTTGGCGCGTGGCGCAGGCTCTGCGGCAGGAGAACGCGAAGCTGCGCGAGCAGATGATTTTCACGCAGGAGGGGCCCAAAGTGGTGCCGCCGCCGGGCGAGGGCAAGAAGATCTTTGAGACCGACGAGTACCTCAACGCACACCGCATCCACCTCGAGTACCGGTACGCGCACCGCTTGTACCTCGATAGTACCGGTACGCGCACCGCTTGTACCTCGATAGTACCGGTACGCGCACCGCTTGTACCTCGATAATACCGGTACGCACACCGCTTGTACCTCGATAGTACCGGTAGGCATCGCGTGTACGTCATTTAGTACCGATAGCCACTTTGTGATGGAATACCAGTAACCGTAGCCACGGATAGTACCGGGCGAACCAAGGCGTTTTATTCTTCGTAATATTGGGTTGTGAATCGCGCACGTAGGCCATGTTCCTTTCGCGCACGTTTACATTCCACCCGCAACGCCACCTTTTCGTCCCTGCGCAGCTTCGGCCAGTACAAGAAGCTGCGGTGGGAGATCGACCAGCACGAGGGTGGACTGGAGAAGTTCTCCCGCGGTTACGAGAAGTTCGGCTTCAACCGAGTGTAAGCCGCTCGCTCACGCGTCGCCGCTGTTTTGCCGCGAACTGACCGCTATAATATGAAGTCGTTTGGCATTCTGAACGCGTCCCGTTTAATCTGCGCAGGCACAACGGCATCGTGTACCGCGAGTGGGCTCCCGGCGCTTATGTAAGTTGACTGCAAGCTTTTCCGCATCCTGGTTGACGTTGTTTCCTTGTACTCATTCAATCTGACGGCGATGTGCGCGTGTGCGTGGTTGTGGTTGTGGGTGTGTGGTGCAGTCGGCGTCGCTGATCGGCGACTTCAACAACTGGAACCCCAACGCCGACATCATGAAGAAGGTCCGCCCCCCCTGCTCACTCTGCTGCCCTCGACGCTTGCTTGCTGCGATTTGACAGAATCAGTAACGGTTTTCGAGTGTCTATGTTGCGTGCTGTTGGTGCGCGTTTTGCGTGTGGCAGGACGAGTTCGGCGTGTGGGAGCTCTTCCTGCCCGACAACCCCGATGGCACCCCCGCCATTCCCCACGGCTCCCGCGTCAAGGTCAGTTTCTGCCCTGCTCGAGCTCCTAAGTACCTGAGTGACTGTATGAATGGCTGCATCACATGTGGTTAATAGCGCGACACACAGCGCGTCACGTGAGCCAAAAACTTTTCTTGTAGCGAATGTTGGCATCAACTCACGTATAGCAGCTGGCGGAAACAACGAAAGCTCAGCATCCAGTGCCTTGTACTCGGCATGGCGATGCACATGCGCCGTGCGGGTAAATAACGGCCTTACAAGCATGCTCTCAGTATTGCCTGCCACTATGAGGTCTCCCCTGGCTAGCGTTATCCTGCAGCGATGACACGTGGATTGTTTTTGCATAACGTGGCATTCAGATTCACATGGACACGCCGTCGGGGTGGAAGGACGCGATTCCGGCGTGGATCAAGTTCGCGGTGCAGGCGCCGGGCGAGATCCCCTACAACGGCATCTACTACGACCCGCCTCCGCAGGTGCGCGCCGCCGCTCAACGCCTCCCGCGCCATCCTCCATGCGAATTTGTCTAGTCATTGGCCCCCACCTAACTGATGCATCTGCTTCTCTCACTCTGCGCTGCTCGCTCACCATTTCTCGCGGCCTTTCCGTGCCTGCATTGCCCACCGTGCTTGTCCTCGTTTCGCGCGCGCCCGCAGGAGCGCCACGTGTGGAAGAATGCGCGCCCCAAGCGACCCAGAGCGCTGCGCATCTACGAGGCGCACGTGGGCATGAGCAGCACTGTACGTCCGCCCTTCCCTCCCCCTTTCCCCCCTCTCTCCCGGCAGCCCCTCTTTGCCCCTCCTGTTCCGCCTTCCTCCTCTGACTCTCGCGCATCCTTGTTCGCCTCTCCCCGCACTGCGCGCCAGCTCCCTCCGTTCATCTATGCCTCCTCGGCACACCCATGCCAGCTCTCCATCCTGCACTTCTGGTTTGACTCATCCGCGTAATTGCGTCGTGCGCCAACAGGAGCCGCGAGTGAGCACGTACGCGGAGTTCCGCGACAACGTGTTGCCGCGGGTGCGCGATCTGGGGTACAACGCCATCCAGCTCATGGCCATTCAGGAACACGCCTACTACGGCTCCTTCGGGTGCGTCCCCCCGCCACCCCATTCCCTTCCTTCCTCTCCCTTCACGCCTACAACGGCGCGTTCGGTTCCGTCACCCCGCTCTCACCCTCGCGCCGTTTTCCGCCTCGCTGCGTGCTTCCATTGACGGCCATCCCATCGCATGCATGTTGGAGCTCTATTCGGCTCATGCGGGCGCGTGCCATTCCCTCTCCACGCCATCGCAACCCCCCATTCCTCATATCATCCCCTCTCTGCGCCGCCCGCGCGCATCCCCTCGCCTCACGTCGGCCGTGCCCCGTCCCTCCCCCCTCCCGCTCCGCAGGTACCACGTGACCAACTTCTTTGCAGTGAGCAGCCGGTGCGGCACGCCCGACGAGCTCAAGAGCCTCATTGACGCCGCGCACGGCATGGGCATCGTGGTTCTCATGGACTGCGTGCACAGGTGGGTGCGGGGGTGGGTTGCTTACTGCGCGCACAGGCAGGCTGCGCGCACAGGCAGGCAGGATGACGCACTGCGCATACAGGTGGGCGAGGCATGGGGATGTGTGTTCTGTGTGCGAAGGCAGGTTGTGAGACGGTTGCCATGCAAGAGGGAGCGGGGACGTGGGTGTGCGCGAGTGCACGTACAGTCATGCCTGTCCGCACGCGCATCACCATATCCAGCCTGCCGGTGCACCGCCACGCGCACCTTTGTTGGGCCACTGCCACTGCCCGCACTCTCTCGCCCTCTCCCCGCTCCGCCCCCCTTCCTCCTCAACCACACGTGATGCAGCCAGACTGAACGGACTTGAATGAACGGATGTGTTGCTGGCATGAACTCGCACCTTTTCCTCCCTCTCACTTTTCCCCCTCCCCTCTTCCCCCTCCACCATCACCACCATCACCACCGTCGCCACCACGGGCGCCCAACAGCCACGCGTCGAACAACGTGCTGGACGGGCTGAACATGTTTGACGGCACGGACGGGCAGTACTTCCACTCGGGCGAGCGCGGGTACCACTGGATGTGGGACTCGCGCCTCTTCAACTACGGCCACTGGGAGGTCGTGCGCTTCCTGCTCTCCAACCTGCGCTGGTGGCTCGAGGAGTACAAATTCGACGGCTTCCGCTTCGACGGCGTCACCTCCATGATGTACACGCACCACGGCCTGCAGGTGCGTCTTGCTGCTCCCTGCTCCATGCACCATGTGTCATGCATCATACACCATGCATCATACACCATGCACTATGCACCATGCATCATACACCATGCACCATGCATCATACACCATGCACCATGCATCATACACCATGCACCATGCATCATACACCATGCACCATGCCGCTTGTAACGTGCACCACACACCACGCACCACGCACCATGCATCATGCATCATGCCCCATGGACATATCATCTCTCTCTTCCTCACCCTCTGCATCTCTTCTGGCTACGTTGCCTCGCACCCACTTCCCTTATTATTTACTCAACTCCCCGCTTTCACCCCCCTTTTCCCGCCCACAGATGGCGTTCACGGGCAACTACGAGGAGTACTTTGGGTTTGCGACGGACGTGGAGGCAATGGCATACCTGATGACGGCCAACGACATGATGCACGGCCTCTACCCCGACTGCGTCACCATCGCTGAGGACGTCAGCGGCATGCCCACGCTCTGCCAGCCCGTTGCGTGGGGCGGCGTGGGCTTTGACTACCGCCTGCAGATGGCCATCGCTGACAAGTGGATCGAACTGCTCTCCGAGTGAGTTGCTGGCCTCGGTGCTGAACCCTTGCTCCCCTTCACCTCTCACCCCGCCCCCCACACCTCACACACATGGTGCGTCTCGCATGGCCTTTGTTGCATGCTCCGCCTCACTCTGCCTCGGCCTTTGTGCCCCTCTGCTCCTGCCCGCCCTGCTAATGCTGCTGCTGCTGCCTTGCGCCCCTGCAGGCAGACGGACGAGCAGTGGCAGATGGGGGACATAGTGCACACGCTCACCAACCGGCGGTGGATGGAGAAGTCCATCGCGTACGCGGAGAGCCACGACCAGGCACTGGTGGGCGACAAGACCATCGCGTTCTGGCTCATGGACAAGGACATGTACGACTTCATGGCTCTCGATGGCCCCTCCACTCCGCGTGTGGACCGCGGCATTGCGCTGCACAAGATGATTCGCCTACTCACCATGGCGCTGGGCGGTGAGGGCTACCTCAACTTCATGGGCAACGAGTTCGGCCACCCCGGTACGCTGCACTGCACTGTGGTGACGGGACTCGCATAATGTGTGAAGGAATCAAGTTGGTGGGATGCAAGAGGGTTGCTGGTAGCACATGGTGGGACAATTGAAGGAAACGAAGAATACGTCACTCACCGGTCGTGCCCCTTTCTTTTCTCATGTGTCTTGTATGTGTGCATGCAACTTGGCATGGCATGGCATGGCATGGCATTGCATGATCCGGCGCTGCAGAGTGGATTGACTTCCCGCGGTGGGACTTCACGACCCCGGCAGGCAAGTTCATCCCGGGCAACGGTGGCAGCTACCACCTGTGCCGCCGCCGCTTTGACCTGGCGGACGCCGCCTTCCTGCGCTACAAGGGGCTCAACGACTTCGACCAGGCCATGCAGCAGCTCGAAGAGAACTACAAGGTCAGGCACGGGGGGGAGACGTACCAGGGAAGAGGGGGAGGAAGAGGTTCTTGGTGAGGTGGGGAGAGGTGCTTGGTGGTGCAGGGAAGGAGAAGCACAAGGTGCAGTGGGTAGGGTAGGGAGACGTTCACTTAGGGGGAATGTGATGCCAACGCCAACTCGATAAGTCACCTCTCTCCATCTTTGGCGGTCCATCTCACCTGGTCCCTGCCCCTCCTTCCCTCTTCCCTTTCCCCCCCCCCCCCCCGTGCTACCAGTTCATATCATCGGAGCACCAGTACGTGTCGCGCAAGGACGAGGGCGACAAGCTGATCGTGTTTGAGCGCGGCGACTTGGTGTTTGTGTTCAACCTGCACTGGAGCAACTCCTACACTGACTACCGCATCGGCTGCAACAAACCCGGCAAATACAAGGTCAGTCAGCGCTGCCGCGCCCCCACCCGACCCTCATCCTGCCCGTGCCTCCACCCTTCTTGCTGCCTGCACGAGTCTGCCCATCCTTCTCTCCTGCTGCCATGCTGCCTGGTTCTAACTTCGGAGCATGTACCTCTGCGTCGCTCGCTGCCTGCTCTCCTACCCCTCCTCTATCACCAGGTGGTGCTGGACTCAGATGAGGGGCGCTTTGGAGGCTACAACCGCATCGACCACAACGCTGCCTACTACTCCAATGTATGCCCCCTGCCTCTCTCTCTCGAACTCCCCCCATGCTTCCGCCCGCTCCTTCCTCATGGAGTTTCAAAGCGTTTTAATTCCATGTCCACGCCTCTTTACCCTATGATGGATTATACGCTCTAGACCCTTTGCGTTTAGCGTATCTACGCTAGCGTGTACACGCAATACGCTAAACGCTAGCGAATACACGATACGCAGCCATAAAAAAAATCGGGCAGCCCGGGAAAGTAAAATCGCAGAAAAGATGCGGATTTTCTTGGTGAGCATTTCACCGAAGTCGAAATGCAAATCCGCGGCCTATGCAAGCTGGGATCTGACTTGGAAGTTTTCAGGCACATCTGGCCATTCAAATGTCGAATTTCAGGTCCCATCTAGGCATTTGAACCCATCCCCTCTACCGCATTGAAAACCATCTTATCTACGAACCCCAACCTATCAAAATGGAACCCCCGACAAATCTCACGCCACTTACCAGCCAACCCAACTCCTAACCCGTCATTTCCTACCTTGCATTCCCGCTTGCAGCAGTGTCCCAGCGCACTCCAACTTGAACAGCCTCTCCAACACTACTCCCTCTAGCTATGATGTCTACTCCCCGCCCCACCCCACCCGCCGATCGGACTCAGGAAAATGCTAGGGCACGTCTTAGTGAGATGAGATAGGGGGTAATTTTTTTCCACCCTGCCCGAAATGTTTTTTTCCCTGCCCAAAAAAGCGCATGCCTGATCCGACCCTCAAGCGTATGGCGTATACACGCTAGCGTATATATGATACGCATATATACGCTGAACGCGTATAATCCATCATAGTCTTTACCCTTGAAGCTGGCCCCATTGCCCGCTCCAACCACCCCTTCATTCCCTCGCTTCCGTTCGTCCCTCCTCCTTTCGTCTCTCTTGACCTCGTCCCTCTCTGCTCATCCATGTGTCTGTGCATGTTGACTGACGGACTGTGGCTGTGACCATGGCTGTGCGTGCAGGAGGGGTGGCATGACGGGAGGCCGCACTCGTTCCAGGTGTATGCGCCGTCGCGCACGGCGGTGGTGTACGGGCCGGCAGACTACGAGGACCCACTCATCGAGTACTGCGAGGAGAACCCCGACACCGACGAGTGCCGCACCTACGACGAGTGACCGCCCCCCACAACCCCCACGGGCCCTGCGCTGCTGCACGCCACACTTCCCCCCATCCTCCTGTGGCATGAATCATGCTCTCACCATCGTCCATCATCCTTCTGGGCCAGGGAGCTCTGCCTCTCTGCCTCTTGCTTTCCCGTGTCTCAAGCCAGCACAGCCAGTGGCTGACCTTATTCCTCGCCGCGTTGCCACTGAGTGCCTTGCTTGCTTTTCCAAACTGCTTTGCTGGCCTTGTGCCCCTCAGACACTGTGTGGTGCCTGAAAGACGTACAGAGTTGCACTGAATTCCTTGTAGTATCAGGCAGTGGTTCAGTGCTGATTGCTGCCTATTTCTATGTGATACTGGTTTGATTATATCAACATTCGTATACTGGATTGTTGTCACCCCCCACTAGGCACAGGGTTTAGTGCTGCAGACAGGTACAAGGAAATGGTGTATGAGGTCTAAGTCTAGCTGCAGTAAGGGGTGAGTGTTGAATTATATTGCATATCTTATAACTGCCTACAGCTAGCTAGTGTACTAGTTTAGTTATTAGCATCAACTGTTGGTGGTGTACCCTCTCTTTTCCTTGCCTATATCTTTGTACTGTTTCTCATTATTGAACCTCTTTGGCCAACCCAAACTCCCTCGATATCCATCTCGCTATGCTACTCTCTCCCTCCAAGCTCCTAATCTCCTAAGTACTATTTGACATGCTATCAGAGCCCGTGTTTCGGTCCTAGGCCCTCGCTCAAATTTGAACCATGTGAGCTTTCCCTCACGCTCGTTTGCAGCTGCTGGCGGCCTGCAAGGCGACCGCCGCGACGAGCAGGGAGACGGTCGCGAAATGCAGCGCGAGTACTGCAGCAGCTGCGCGATCGCCGTTCGTCGCGGCCGCCTCGTCTCGCCCCATCGCCCCGCCCCTTCGTCGCCACGTCGCCCCACTGCTGCGCCTCTGCCGCCCCCCCGTTCGCCCCCCGTGCGCTTCCGCACCCGTCCCGCCCCTGCACGTATGCGGGGGCGGTAGCTATAACGTGGAGGATGGGGGAAGGGAGTGGCGGGCCGACGGCAGCAGTCGCCCGCGTCAGCGCCAACGAAGTTCGTTGGCGCCCCCGACATCTCCATCCTGCTCCCCGCCCTCCCCTCTGCCGCGCACTGCAACGGCAGAGACTTGGGGAGGGGGTTGGCGGGATTGGCAGGCGAGGCTCCGGGGGTACTAAAGCCCCCCTTGAACCCCCCTATCCTCCTCCTCCTCGCTGCACCGCATCTGCTGGGCGTGCCGCGTTGGGGGGGGGGGGAGAAGGGATGTGGGGGTGGCGGGTTTGACAAGGCAGCCCCAGCCGCACCTCCTCCCTCTACCTTCCGCTGCACCATCTCCTCCTCCTCTCTCCTCCCTCCAGCCGCATCTCCTCCTCCTCTCTCCTCCCTCCAGCCGCATCTCCTCCTCCTCTCTCCTCCCTCCAGCCGCATCTCCTCCTCCTATCTCCTCTCCTCCAGCCGCATCTCCTCCTGTGCACCACCACCAGTTTCCTCCTCCTCACCAACAGTTGTGTTTGCTCGTAGATGGCGAGCGACCAGCATCCTTCGCCCTCCGGCTATCCCAGCCCTCCTCCGCGCTCTCCGCGCCCACCTGCGTTCTGGCGTTCACAGGTGCTGCCGGTCAGCCACCGCTGTTTCTGTGCCTATCCCAGCTACAGCAACCGCTCTCCAGGCGACCTGGTGCCAGACACCACTAGCTACAGCCGTAGGCAGTTACGGGGGTGTGTTGAATTATATTGCATATCTTATAACTGCCTACAGCTAGCTAGTGTACTAGTTTAGTTATTAGCATCAACTGTTGGTGGTGTACCCTCTCTTTTCCTTGCCTATATCTTTGTACTGTTTCTCATTATTGAACCTCTTTGGCCAACCCAAACTCCCTCGATATCCATCTCGCTATGCTACTCTCTCCCTCCAAGCTCCTAATCTCCTAAGTACTATTTGACAGTGAGGTCGGGTCCAGGGCCTCAGATTCGTTTTGGCGTAGGCTGACTGGTCAACCTTAGGAGTGTGTTCATGGCTGATCTGTCAGTGTTGTTGTTTAAAAAAAAACTGACTTTTCAGGGTGTATATTAAAAAAAAAACTGAACGATCAGCGTCACTATTTGGTGAAGACTGAACCATTTCAAACAAGTTCTGCATTGATATAACAAACGTTTACAGGAAATCTAATTAAACATATCCTCATCCTCTTCATCATCATCACCCTCTTCACTATCACTAGAGCCTAAAGAGAGCGCCGCGGCCAGCGACGACCGCCGCCATGCTAGCTTCACGGGCAGACCGCGGCCCGTGAGGCACCATGGCGACGGGGGAAAGAGACAATCGGCGAGGCGAGGGGGAGGCGAGGCTGCGCGACGAGGGGAATGCGGGACGACTGGAGGCTGCAGGGAACGACGCGGAAGTTTGGCTCTGCGAGGGGAAAGGAAAGGGAGCAGAAAAGAAATATCTCTATCCTAAATCGTACTTACCTATTGGGCATACTGTGTTAGAATATATCTGTAACTGCCTGTAGCTGTAGTTAGTGTAGTTATTATAAACTGTTGGTGGTGCACCTTCTTTGCATGCTTTGTTTACTACTTGTACCTCGCTCAATAGTGAATTCTTCCTCTTTGGCTAAACTCTCTCGACATATGTCTCTCTCAAGTCTCCTCCTACCCCAAACCCTAGTGTTCACTTAATCTACTATTCTAACATGTTATTAAGAGCTAGGTCGTCCTAAGACCTATTTTTTTTCCCCCATGGGCCCACCACGTATCCCCCCGCTCATGGCGCTCGTCACGCCCCCCGTCGCGGCCGTAGTTACGACGGTTGCAACGGTCGCGACCATCAAAACGGTCTCAAAGCTAGCTGCGCGACGGCGTCAGATGCGGTCTCGTTTCGTCTCCCCGTCGCGCCCGTTGCGCCCTGCTCGTCGCGCGCATCGCCTGCCCCGCCCCGTTCTGTCACGAACACAGCAGCAGCCGCGCGCAGCTGCGTACGGCCGCGCATTGCTGCGCGCAGCTTCGTACGACCGTGTGCACCCGCGCACGGTCGTGTGCGCCAGCACCAGCGCCCGTCGCCAGCACCTGCGCGAGCGCCAGCGACGACGCCAGCGCCAGCAGCAGCTAACGGCGCCCCACTCTTCCCTTCCGCAGCTTCCGCCGTGGGGGGGGGGGGGATGTGGGGGTGGCGGGTGTGAGTTGCCTGCAGCCCGTCCTTCCCCTCCCTTCAGCGGGGCCCGCCGTGAGGGGGGGAAGAGGTTGCGGGGGGAGGGTGAGGGGAATGGGGGAGATTGTGAGGGAGTGGAGAGAGAGATTCTGCCAAGCCAGCAACCGCCCCTCCTCCTCTCTCTCTCACTGCCGCGTGTGCTGCCGTGGGGGGGAGGGTGAGACGGTAGCGGAAGTCAGCTAGGCATCTGCAGCTGCCGCCCGCTGCTACCGTGGCACCTTCTGCTGCCGCCCCTGCCTCCACCTGCTGTTTCTTCTGCTGTCTTCTGCTGTTGAGCGGCAGGTGCTGCCGTTGAGCCCTGCTGTGCCGCCGCACGGTGCCGCCGCACGCACACGCTTTCCAGGCGACCTGCCGCCACATGCACCTTTGTCTGTTGCTTCTACCTTGGCTGAGGGGTTGGTGTAGCTGAATCTGCCACCACTGCACCCGTTGCCACTGGTCTTGCCTGCTGATGCTGTTTTCTCTGTTCGTGGTGTACCCATGCAGGATGTGTTGCTGCACAAACTCCTGCTGCAGGCAGTTATGGGGGAGTGTTAGAATATATCTGTAACTGCCTGTAGCTGTAGTTAGTGTAGTTATTATAAATTGTTGGTGGTGCACCTTCTTTGCATGCTTTGTTTACTACTTGTACCTCGCTCAATAGTGAATTCTTCCTCTTTGGCTAAACTCTCTCGACATATGTCTCTCTCAAGTCTCCTCCTACCCCAAACCCTAGTGTTCACTTAATCTACTATTCTAACATACTGGTGTGTTGCTGCCGCACTGATGGGCTGCAGAGGAGAGCTGCAGAGGGATGCGGGTGGAGAAAATACGGAGAGGAATACGGGAAGCACGAGGGAGTGAAAGCGGAATCGCGGTTCCCTCTATCCCTCGCAACTCCCTCTCCCACGCAGCTAACTATCTCCCTCGCAGCTCACTCTCTCCGTCTCAGCCTGATCAAACGGAAACGAGGGAACCAAATGCGGGGGGCGATGAGGAGTAACGAGAAACAAATGTCTGTAGATTCGTACCTACTAAGATGGCGTTGCTGCTGAGCTGAGCTCACGGGCTGAAAAGGAGTGGGTATTCCCGTCAAGGAATATGCACGAACGAGAAGTGCAGCTCACGGGCTCACGGATCATCGTACAGCGACGACCAGCTGCGACGCCAGCTTCGCTGGCGAACGCGGCCCGCACGGCGCCATGGCGACGGGGGGGAAGGGAAGCGTGGCGCAGCGAGGGGAAGGTGAGGCTGCGCGATGAGGGAATGACGCTAGGCGAGAAATACACCTGTAGAGTAGAAGAAGAACCACTTCTACTCTACAGGTGTCCAGTACAAGTGCCTTGCATCTCCAAGTGGAGGGACGAGAGGGAGGGGCTGCTGCGAGCGATGCAGGCGCCGAGAGTGGGGAGATGCTCAGAGCGAGAAAAGCGAAGGTGAAGGGAGTGAAGATCCAGGTGGGTGAGAAAGAAGCGGACGGTCTGCGACCAGTGGGGGTTTCATCTACAGTTGGTACAGGAAAGAAGAATCTCTACCGTATCCTTGAGCCAAGATACCTTCGCGAGAAGACAGCAGTGGAGTGAAAGTTCGTGAATGACCATTCCCGAATGCGTTGGCAAGGAATCTTGCCATTTCGGCGTGATTGACGGAGGGACGGTCGAACCGGTGTACCTAGACATCCGGAATTCAGGGCACCTACGCTAATCTCCATTACAGGGATTTCAGCCAACCCCTTCGTTACAACTCTGATGAGACAGCGTACACGACAGGAAAAAAGCTGATATTTCAG